CGCCCCGCGCCCCGCGCCCCGCGCTGCGTCCAAACTCCCGCCCCCAGGGTACAGCCTGCTCCGCTTCCCGGCAAACGCGTTTCATGCGGGTCTGCTCCGCCCCGGCGGCACCGGCTCTTGGTGTGCCCGCACTGCCCCGCACCTCAGCGCAGCCGCCGGGAGGGGGAACGGGCTGGGGGACGGGTCAGAGCAAGGCTTGGGTGGCCCCATGTCCTCCAGCTTGCGCGCTATTTTCAAACGCCCTCTCCGCCCGGCCGGTCTCCTCAACCCGACGGGCTACACTTTGGAGCCCGCTGCCTCGGGGGCCATCCGGCTTTGCCCCGAGGCTCCCGGTGGCGCGCGCAGCCTTGCACGGGATTTTCACGCGCCCTCTCCGCGCACTGGGTGCTTGCAACCCTCCGGACTGGCCTCTCAGGGCTGCCCTGACCCCGGTACTCGAGGCCCCTCCGCTGCTGCCGCCCGCCTCCACCGCCCCGGCAGGAGAAGGCCACCTGGACCCGGCTCCCCCTGCCACCTGGCGCAGGCCCCGGGGACCAGGCTGCGGCTCAGCCCCCAGCCAAGGCAGGAGGGATGTGGGGCCGCGGGCAGCCCCCTTTGCCTGAGCTGCTGCCTCCTTCCCAGGGCCGAGGCCCCAGTGCCCGGCGGCTCCCGGCGGCAGCGCCACTGCGCGCTATTTTCAACCCCGTCTCTCCCTTCCCGCTGCCTGCGGCCGCCCCCGCCCGGGCTTCGCTCCCGTCCTCGCCCCTCTCGTCGGTCCGCACATGTCCCCGCGCATCCTCCCGGCCTGCGGGTGTCGATCCCGGTAACAATAAATCCCCGTCCGGGCAGAAATCAGGGAGCAGCAGGCCCCGCGGGGGCTCGGACGGGCGCTGCCTGCGGGGGAGGCTCCTCCGTGCAGACCCCGACCCGGCTCCAGCCCCGAGACGGCCCGGGGGGGCGGCGGGAGGCGCGGGGCGGCGGGCTCGGAAGAAAACCAGAGTCGGCGGCTTCGGGGACGAGGGAGATTTAATTTAGACTCGCGTCGGTACAGTAGAAAAGACACCTGAAAGCACAAGC